GTTATCCAATTAATTTCTTTCTAATTTTAGTACAGACGGGGTCTCACTCTTGCTCAGGCTGGTCTCTAACTCCTGAGCTGAAACAATCCGCCCGCCTCGGCCTCCCAGAGTGCTAGGATTACAGGCGTGAGCCACCGCGCCCGGCCCATAAAGATATTTTTTTCTAAATAGTATCAATCAGTAGAGAAGCTACCAAGTTCTATTCCTTAATTTTGGGGGTACTTATTGGAAAGCAGAAAAATCACAAAGTAGGGCAAGGGAAAAATCACAAAGTGGGCCAAGTCCCCATTATTTTAGAGTATAACGTTAATCATTCATCACTCTTTTACTTTGTAGGTAGTTAGCTTATTGTGATGCCATCTAATCTTGAGGTAAAACTAAACACCTGACTTAAACTTTAAGCACTCTAGTGAATTAAAGCAGAAGAGACAAAAAAGCAGAGGAAGTAGAAAGTAATACAAACATAAAACTGGAGGTGACCTAATGTTTTCCTTTTGTTTCCTAGCCTTTACAGTATAGTTCTATCTTCTTTTCTGGATGACAACAATTTACATACAGTAACATGTAACATGTAGAATGAACTGAGTCTGTGTATGTAAAGCTGGAGCATAGTAAGGAAAGGCTTTGGGAATGAGTCTACATAAGCATCCAGCATATTCACATTTTCACTTGGTTTTCTACTCATTGTGACATGTATAACAACTCTTATTAAATGGTAGGAGAAAAAAATATATCTGATATGTAAAAATATCTAGGAAGAAAGCCATCTGCTAGCAATAATGTTGGAAATAAAGAAAAAAATAAAACAGTCTAAGAAAGTGATAGACAAAAGTTTTAAAGAGTAGAATGCTGAATTTCAAGCATCTCAGACTTGATGTGGAGAACTGCTTGATATACCCAAGGAAAAAACATGTATTCGTGGGACTTTTTCCAGGGAATACCTCAGCCAGAAAAAAGCTGTTCATCACATAAAAAAATACAAACCTTTAGTGAATGTTTAAAAGATGGTCAACATTCAAGTGAGGCTATGTAATCTGGGAGAAAGCCAACAAGCACATGTACAACATTATCTGTATATGAGAACTGGGCAATTAGCAAAGGTTTTAATGTAAACCATATTACCTTTAAAGAAACACAGTACAAAACATACCACCAGATGCATTGCTAATGGCTGATCCTGCAGATGCCACCTTGGAAACTGCTGCTGGATTATATGTCCAAGATGTTCCACAAACTTCCACCTTTAAATCACTGTCTGAGTATATCTGTTGTACTCGGCCAACTTTACCTAAAGTCTTGAAAAAAAAGTTAAATTCATGTTTCCAAGTCTAAGAATATACCATAAAATCAATCACTGGTTTTTAGTATGTTTAAAGTATTTATTCTGCTTGTTCCTAATGAAAACACTTTTAAAGAATAAACATTTTCAGGCTGGGCGTGGTGGCTCACGCCTGTAATCCTAGCACTCTGGGAGGCTGAGAAGGGAGGATCACTTGAGGTCAGGAGTTTGAGACCAGC